TTGAGCATGTTTTTGAATTTTAATATTCTGAAGCAATAAGATATTATAGAAAGCTAATTAACTAAACTTTATATTGACTATTTAATCAAGTCAAATAACTAAATGACTAATAATAATGAAATAAAGTTTGCATGGACAGTTCAACTGGTTATAGAGGTGAAAATTAAAAAAGATAAAAGATGAAATAAATTAAAATTAACTGATAAGCTAAGTATGTTGACCATAATTTGCAGAGTAGATCAACAAAAACCAACAACAATAAATAATTGAATTGGAATTAATTATACCCATTAAATTATATTCGCAGTGAGAAAATGAAACGTGTCGTTCAACGACCGGGTCAGATTGTTTGACTTGACGATCATGGTCGTCATTAATCAAGTCTTCTTCCCTCTGTAACTGTACACACATACAGGCAATAACAGTAATCCACCATTATTATTTCCATTTGCCTTTTGGACTTTTATTTATTTATTTATTTATTTTAACATTAATGAACATTTTTGCCCCTCCCTCTTTCCCTGTCCCCCCTCCTTCCTATTTATTTCATCATTTTCCTTTCTTTTGTATTCTTGTCTCTCTTCCCTTTTCATCTTTCCCTTTTATCTTCTTTCTTCTTCTTCTTCTTCCATGGCTGACATGCCTGGAAGCTCCACTTGTTTGGACCTCACCATCTCCATCCCTGGATCTTCTTCCTCTTCTTCAGGTAATTCATCACCCTTAGATTCGATTCTTGTTTTCATTAAAAAACAAAACTATATGTGTGATGTTTTTAAGGGTTTGTTGGTCTGGTTGTCGGGCGCCATGTAAAATTTTTACGTGTTATTTTTCTTGAATTTTTGTTATGAGTGTGAAATTAAAATATGAATATTATTGAAGGAGGAGAATGTGGGATGAGAGATTTGGATATAAATCAAGTGCCCTCCGGCGAGAATATTGAAGGGGAGTCGATGATGATGATGATTGAAGAAGAAGATGATCAGAGCTCCATTAATGGCGGCGTCCACCCGAGGAAGAAGCTCCGCCTTACTAAAGAACAGTCTCTTCTTCTTGAAGAAAGTTTCAGGCTAAACCACACTTTGAACCCAGTAAGAATATATATATATAATTCTCCATCCTTTCATTCATTTTATTTTATTTATTTTTCTCTATTGATATTTTCTAAATATCCACCCTACTTTTTTTTTTTTTTTTTAATTTTATGTATCTGCTTTAAAAATAAAAAATAAAAATTCATCAAAGTATATTCCAAATAATGTTTGTCTTAATTAAGAATCAAAATAAATAAATAAAAATTAATTGGTCAAAGTTGGTGTAGTTTGACCTTCCGAAAGTGGATAGTGACACTAAAGATGAGAAAGATTATACATATTTAGTTTTTTTTTTTTTTTTTTTTTTTAATGCTACTGATTCTATTACAATGTAGTATCTGTTCATAATTACTTTTTCAATTACCTCTACCGAGGCTCAAACACACACCCTCCCATATTGAAGTGCAACCTTAGTGCCATTAAACCACACGATCTTGGCTAGTACATATTTAGTTAATTACACGACTTTTAAAATATTACTAATACATCTCGTCACTTTTTATTCCTAATAATTAATATTTTTTACGACGGGCGTTATATGTAGAAATTGTATTATTAAGACAAAGTTTATAATGTTCACAGAAGCAAAAGGAAGTTTTGGCTATGCAATTAAGGTTAAAGCCAAGGCAAGTGGAAGTCTGGTTTCAAAACCGTAGAGCGAGGTACAATTATTATTATTATTATTATTATTATTATTATTATTATTATTATTATTATATATTGCAATAATAACTAATGGTGGATAGTAATAATAAATGAGTTTTGCCATAAATTAAAATCTGAACCATGCAATTTAATTATTCTTTGTGTCGATCCATAGAAAGTGATGGTTCGTTAGGCCATATTTAATGCATGTACTAAGGATGTATTATTTTCTGCCTATTTTTATTTATTGCCATTTTTTTAATAAAAAAATATATTTTAATAGCGGTCCATATATGTTGGTGAATATGGGGCACGGATTCAGGCAGAAATTTAATGAAGCATTTGAATTCATTGGTGAAATGGTGTTGACATTTATGTAGTTGAGTACAATAAGGTTTGGAAGTCCACAGATGGCATTGATGGCCATAATTATGTGAGTATTTGTGGCCCTAGAAAAAGACCAACATATAATAAGGAAAATAAATAGAAAAATTTATTAAAAAAATTGGCACTAAGTAGCTCTTTCATATGGGAGGTCATGAGTTCGAGCCTCAATGGGCAGTATTGACTCTGTGCTCTGGTAGGTTGAGAAAGTAGTTATGAACATGTGTATTGTAACAGAGTCAGTAGCTAATACTTAATTTTTTTTATTTTTTTTTTTTTGGGAGTTAAGTGTATGTTTTTTTTTTTTTTTTTTTTTTTTTTTTTTTTTTACACACCCTTATTGAGATGATAACCCTAATTGGGATGTGACTGAAACTTGAAATCTTTTATAGGAAAGGTAACAGTGATGTCATTAGATTTCAAATTTCTAAAGTGTTAAACTAAAATGCAATAATAATATTATGTATAGGAGCAAGCTGAAGCAAACAGAAATGGAATGTGAGTACTTGAAGAGATGGTTTGGTTCATTAACGGAGCAAAACCGGCGGCTTCAAAGGGAGGTGGAGGAGCTCCGGGCGAAGAAAGTGGGCCCACCCACCGTGCTGTCGCCGCACAGCCGCCAGCCGCTGCCGGCATCCACCCTCACAATGTGCCCACGCTGCGAGCGTGTGTCCACCAACACCACCACCACCACTACCGTGAGGGTGGTTGACAAAGGTGGGCCCACCACCCAACCTACCAACTTGTCGGCCAAAACGCTTCAATTGTTACATCCTCGACATCCCTCGGCTGCGTGTTAATGAGCGATCGCATGATGTTTGTGTACAAGAAATTATGGTTCTTCTTCTTAATTAGTGGTTGTGGTAGGTGTTCATGTTCATCTTCATGGACATACAACATTGTAATTGGGTCACAAAACTAACATGCCCCTCTCCTAATTAGTTCGCTAATTATCTTTAATTCAGAAGAAATTATATGTTTATTATTTACTACGACCCTTTTAATTTCTCCCTTTTCCATATTCTTTCCGCTTTTGGTTTAATTTAACCCTTGTTGTAGTTAAATACTTTTTTAAGAAATAACATAATTTTCTACAGGAACTTTTACAGGATCAATCTTCAATTTTAAAAATTATATCACTGCACATATTGTTTGCAATTCTTAAAACAAAAATTATCGTTATCTTGTTGTAGATGCGGGTGGTTATAAACGCATATAATCATTGAAGAGTGCACATTAAAGGAATTGAGACGGATAAAACTAGGTGTCAAAGATGTTAAGAAAGTATTTTGCTAGCTAATATACAAGAGATGAAGTGATCTAAACCCTTTCTATGTGATGGATATGGATAAATATTTTGAGATGAGCAAATAGTTGGTCTGTTACGTAAAAACACTAATTTTTAAAAAATTTGTGAATGGTTCTTATTCCTCTTCTGGACTTACAACTTCCTATATGGGAATCCAACCCAGGTGCCATTAGACCTTGGCATTATACTGGTTTGAATCTTGCCACAGCTGCTGGACAAACACACAATCAAAGAAAAGATGGCACAATGATTCTGGATGCAATGGCAACTACCTTCAACATCTACTCTTCTTGAAACAATTGGGCTAATATCGTAGGCAAAACCCCATGAACACACCTCCATAAAAAATTTTGAACCTTCGGATCGGAGGTATTTTAAGCCTCCAAAGATCATTCCATGCAGTGAATGGAATGGGCATAGTATCATGCATCATATTCCCAATTTCAAAGTTAAAAGCTATAAATTTTAAAACTTGCAATAATCAAACTTTTGGCATGGGATACTAGAAAAGATTAAAGAAGGCAAAGAGAAGTTAAACCTAACGGGAAAATTTTATCGTAACATTACTTTAAAAAAATAATAATAATAATAGAAGGAAGGTTCAAATTATGGGTATCACTATCAAAATTTGACATTTCTTTATGGATTAAAAAAAGTATGTTACAAAGTCAACACCTCTGCTGAGGCTCCATCTCATGACGTTTCATATAAGAAAGGTCACTATAGGCTATTTGAGCACAAGCTGCTTGGCTTATACTTATGCATTTAATGCTTCAGTACCTCTATTTAAAGATGTGTTCATCTAAATTTCAAATGATCCATGGCATGGGTAAATACGATGGCGCGGGGTTTGGATTCTTTCCCAGGGGTCGCCGCTCAAGTGGCCTATGTCGGCAGCGAATCCTATGAGGATGACGGCGAAGATCGCCAAGGGGAAATATACATTCGGTACTTGAAAGACGTTTTTACCCCTTAAATTGACATCGTGTTAAGCATATAACTATTAAAGTGCAATCCAATTATCAGCTTAGTTTTTTAGTTGAGATGGAGCACATGCTTCAATTTGGCATCAGAGCCAGACCAAAGATCATGAATAAAAATCAGGGCCGTATTTTAAGTTTTTGTGGCCCTATTCTAGTAAATAAATGTGGCCCTACAAAATCACAATTTTGAAAATAATACATGCAAGTTTCGAACTTTTGACCTCCAAATTAAAATACAATAAATACACATTTTCACCATCTCTTCATAAAACTTTTTAAATTTAATTGAAAACTTTTTATTTTTATTTCTAAACTAACTATGTAAAAATTAAATATTAAATCTCTTTGGGGCCCTCTAAAATTGGAGACCCTGTACGATAGCCCAGCTTGCACAACCTAAAATCCGGTCCTGGTAAAAATATTACGGTCTACGTGTTACTTGAGCCCTAAAAGTAATCGGCTCTCACACAAACGTGACAACCGTGAATGAAAACAACTCTTCTTCATAAAAAGTGAATAGTTAACTGTTTTGATATTTTTTTGTTTTTTTGAAAAAAAAAAAAAAAACTAAAGTATTCCGTACGCAAATTACTGAAGTGGAGACCGGTGAGGTGGGTTCTTCCTCCGGTTCTTCACGGCAGCCGGAACGTCCGTAGCCGGCCCGCAATCTGGCCGGACACACGACCTTACGCTCCGCTTCTTCTTCACTATCTCCGTGATGGTGGTGGTGGTAATGCTGGCAAGTGCCCGGCACTCCACCCCTTCCGCGCTGGCGCCGTCGCTTTCACCGGACGCCGTTGGCTCAAGGGCAGTCTCCGGCATCATCTGCTCATCTCCGTCACCCAGCTCCGGCAACACCAAAGACTCGCGGTTGCATATATGATCGGATAAATTGACCCCGGTTTTCATCATGTGTTGAAGCTGAAGATGAACAACCAAAAACCCAAAAATGATGCCACAATTTTAACAAATTTCCTATTGGAAAAGGAATTATTTTTTTCATGACGAGAAAAACCATAGCACTATCCAAAGTGTACACCGATTAAATCTAATTTTGTGACTTTAACCAGGAAAAGACTACGATTAAATAAACAGCTTAAATTGTTAAAATTCAAACTTATAATCTTGTAATTACCAAGTCAACTGTGTGAGCAACTTATAAGAAATTTGTTTCGTTTTTTACCTTGCAGAAGATGGAACAGAAGAGAAAGGCATCTTGAACGGCTCTGTCACAGATGATGCAAAGCTTGGATGATCCTCTCCATGGCCTTGTCTTTGGTCTTTGGTTCAGAAACACCACTTTCTCACTGTTGGTAATATAACACTGCAAAACACATGAAAATAAAATGCATAAATTATTAATAAAATGGAAAAAATTATATTTTATCATTCACTTATAATATCTTGGATACAGACTTAATCTCTGAGTTATATGTATGACAATCTTTTAACTCCTATGTTATGTGCAAAGTGGCTAGTTTAGTCCCTAAAGAACTAAACCTGTAAATTTATTAACTGACATATTGGTGGCAGAAATAGTCCTTAAAAGACTAAGATCGTTACTTCACCAATAACTTAGGATTAAAATGGTCACGCATATAACTCAAGAACCAAAAATGCAATTTTTCCTTAATAAAACAAAAACAAAAAATGTTGAACTCAAGACATATATATATATATGCATACATACTTGAACAGAAACGCAGTCCAACAATTTCTCAGCATCTTTCAGCCTCAAAACATCATGGTATATATACCTTCTTATCTAGTCCATAAACAAAACCTAGTCAGTTTGAATCATATATATATTCATATCCAACCTTGTCTAATAAATGGGATCATAATATAAACTTGTTTCTTTATCTATCTCTAATTTTTCAGTGTACCTGTAAGAGGCGATGGGAGCAATGAGGGGTCAAGCAGTGAATGCAAATGGCCTGGCAACAGTCCAAGCAAAAGATATTCTTTTCATTCTTTCTGGCATCTTTGTGAGCAGCGCAGATGTTGAAGAACTTCTCTGTAAGAAGAGCAGCTAGCCACCCAGGAAGAAGATGCAAATTATCTGACTGAAAATTTTAAAAAGAAGAAAGAAAATTCAGTTATGTTTGGCTTTAATTTACTGAATTAAAGCAATGGGGGAGAGATGAGAGAAGCCACCATTTTTGCTGCCTTTGAGCTCACCTGGAGATAATGGAAGTATGTTGGTATGTAGAGATGATGATAATAAAGGAGCTGAGAGGTTTAATTGAGCTTTTGCTTCAGATGATCCACCAAAGTTGAAAATGGAAAGTGGCAACAGTTTCCAAGAAAGATTTGAGAGTATTGGGTTTAGCATGGAATTAGCAAAACATAGCAAAAATGTGAGGGGGAAAGTTTTTGCTGTGCAGAACTGATCAGATCAGCCGGCAATTACTGTATAGAATAAGTTGTGATCAGTTGCATGCGGCCATTTATTGCATGCTCCAAGGCTGGAAGAATACTACTTATACCCTTATTTTCAAATTGTGGCTAGCCAAAACAAGAAACTCGTAGTCATTATAACGTGCTATTTATCATGTAGTCTAATAGCATCTCAGTTATCTTTTAAATGGGTGGTCATATTCGATCAGTGGTGGAGCTTAGATTCTTTAGACTGAAAATGTTTGAAAAATTATAGAACATATACTACATTGTAAAGAATTATGAGTTTTTTTTTTTGAAAAAGAGAAAGGAAAAGAAAAGAGAGAGAATATTATTTAGAATCAAACTGGTGGTACAAGAATCATGGAGCATCTCTTAATTCTCAAATTGGTCCTCAATTACTATTTACTAATATAATTCATCCAAAATAGTCTCTTCACCATGTAAGAACATAGGACTAAAATGAGTGATATTATTTTATATAGTTAAAAGGGACCATTTTGTGCAAATTAATAATCAAGGCGAATTTGGAAATTATCATATAGTCGGGATCATTTTAATTGGGTATTAATTCTTTATTTTTATTATATAAAAATAACTTATTTAGTTGTAATTTTTTATGTGTACTCTCATAACGTATTAATATATATATATATATATATATATATATATATATATATATATATATATTGTGACGAGGAAACTCACAACTACTACTATTCGCCGCAGTCACTATCCAATCGCATTGAGTAAACCTCACTGTGTGATTCTAACCCGCAAAAGATTGCATTAATATCTCTTTTGATCATATTTGATAGATATATAGAATTGTGGGTTGACCTCAATGTGTTGCATTTGAGCAATTGTGAACGAATGAGTAGTTGCAAACTAAAAAAGTTGTGTTAACTTTGTCAGTAGTGGGACTTGTTTGGTAAACAAGATCAGACGAAATCACTGGCCTGCATATTGGGGTTTTCGGCATTAAATTTTTTGTATTCTTTTTATTGATTTTTTTCACCTTTGCCCACATCTGAATAATGGTTATGAAATTTTCTCGTCATTTAAAAAAGTGATAAAATTTGTCCCGATAAGACATACGTGCTAACATTTTTGGTGAAAATGCCTTTCCAAGACAACTATTGAAGGCTTGAAGCCATAGACGACAAGAAATTGCCTTTCTGATAATCGAAGTGAATAACGTGTTTGAGTCTCATTCCAATGTTGCCATATTTATTCAACATCTCAACTATCTGAGTTTGACAATAGGATTGTTACATATTATATACTCAATTACTCTTACCAAATTGAATAATTGTTTCATTACAACTAAAAACCTAAACTAATAGTTAAAATACATATTTATGTCATATATATGCTCAAGTAGTTTTTTTTTTTTTTTTTTTTTTTTTTTTTTTTTTTTAATACCAGTTTTGGTCCCTTGAGCATTATACTTCTCCCACATTTGGTTCATAATTATTAAATTTTCTACATTTGATACATAACTATCAAATTTTTGTCACATTTGATCATTTCATCAATCAATTTCCTTACAAATGCTATGTGATTTTCATCAACACTAACTTCAAGACCATTATATTTCACTATACAATCTTCATGATTTTAATTCAAATAACTCATATAACTATCATGTGAAATATTTAGCTAATACTAGTTTAAAAATTGATCAAAAGGAGTAAAGGACCAATGTAATTAAAATTTCATAGTCATGCACTAAATATGAAAAAGATTGATATTTAAGAATTGAAAGTGAAAGATGTAAAATAGTTAATGGACCAAAAGGGGGAGAAAAAATCTTTGGATTTTTTGACAAATAATTTTACTATGGACCATGGTCTATGTAGCAACATGGACCATAAAATATGTATCATTTGAATTACACCTCAGTTTTATTTGACAATATTACTATGTTTTTTAATTTATTTTTTACACACACTAATTTCATTATAGCAATACCAAAGTATCATTTTAATTCTACTACAGTTTCACTTGACAATATACATTATTACAAGAGCTCTATTTGTTTGTTTCTTTTTTTCACAAATACTAGTTTAATTATAGTAATGTTGAAGTATTATTTTAATTACACTTCAGGTTCATTTGATATTATATGTTATTGTATGACTCTCGATTTTAGTTTCATTTTTCACGCACACTAGTTTAATAATAACAATATCAAAGTATCACTTTAATTCTACTACAGTTTCATTTGACAATATACATTATTACAAGAGATCCATTTTTTGTTTCATTTTCTACAAATACTAGTTTAATTATAGTAATGCTGAAGTATTATTTTAATTACACTTCAGGTTCATTTGACAATATATGTTATTGTATGACTCTAGATTTTAGTTTCATTTTTCAGGCACACTAGTTTCACTATAGCAACACTAAATATCATTTTAATTATACTACAGTTTCATTTGACAATAATGTGATCTGTTTTTTAGTTTCATTCCTCACACACACTAGTTTCATTATAACAATACTAAAGTATCAATTTAATTTGACGATCATGGTCCACACAGTGCTGTGTGGAATATGGTCCACTATATAACAATTGGGGGTTTTCTCTTCTAGTCTAGTTGATATATATTGCCGACAACAATTCTTTAACATGATTTGCCTTCTTTACACATTACAACTACCTCAGGTTTTGTCTTGTTTCATATTTATTATGTCTTAAAATCTTTAACTCAATACACCAACAAGCGTAATAAATTCTTCAACGTTCATCAAATAAACACGTACAGAAAGTACCAGGACTATGTGGTCTAATGGTATCCGGGGTGGACTTCCAAGTGGAAGGTTGTGATTTCGAGCCTCAGTGGAGGCGTTATTGACTCTTTGTGTTTCAGTAGGTTGAGAAAGTATATGAACAGATACTACAATGTAATAGAGCTAGTAGCATTCAAAAAAAAAAAAAAAAAACACGTACAGAAAGTAGTCTAACAATAATACCCACACGAAATGCTCCTGAAACCTTAACTCTAACAAGGGACCCTAGGTTTCGATTCGATCATACAAATGTTGACACAAACATAGTAGTAGTAATAACTACAACTTGAATTGAATGGTAAAACAAGTTGAACAACTAAACGAGAAGCAGAACAAGGATAGATATTTCTGAGCAATACTACACATTTTTTGTTTTTGTTTTTTTTTTGTTTTGTTTTTTTTTTTTTTTTGCATTTTACCGAGATCATATGTTTCCTATGTGTGCATGTGTAGGGGATCAGGTGCGAAGGACTCCCCAGGTGAAAAATGCACACAAATTTCAGCCATTAAATTCATCAAGATCTACTGCTCTTTAAAAAAAAAAAAAAACTACCTTCGAATTAACAAAATCTATGCACTTGAAGGCAGAAAAAATGTGCATTTAAAGGCTAAAATTCTGCACTTAAAAGGCACAAAGATGTGTAATCGAAGCAATTTATGGTACCAAAAAGGGAAGTTATTCAACTTAAGTATTATTGAAGCAATTATCAATAAAATCGTTTGTAAACCACAAAAATTCCATTAGAAATTTAGTTATAGATTATTGAAAAGAAGATAAAACATATAATAAACACTTGCTCATAATTGTGCACTTGAAGACACAAAAATATGCACTTGAAGGCATAAAAATGTGCACTTGAAGGGTTAAATTCTGCACTCGAAGGCATAAACATGTGGACTTGAAGGGTTAAATTCTGCACTCGAAGGCATAGATATGTTTAATCGAAGCAATTTATGGTAGCAAAAAGGACAGTTATTCAACTTAAGTGTTATTGAAGCAATTGCCCAAACAAATTGTTTGTAAATCTCACAATTTCATTAAAAATTTAGTTATAGATTATTGAAAAGAATGTAAAACATATTATAAACATTAGCCCATAAATATACAATTGAACGCACAGAAATGTGCACTTGAAGGCCAAATGTTTGCACTCAAAGGGAAGACTAAGTACTGAGACATAACATATGCACTCGAAGAAAGAAAATGTGCACTTGAAGAAGGAAAAAATATGCTGTCGAAGAAAAAAAAACATCTAAACTTACCTACTCAAAATTACAACAATACCACCGCGTGTTTTTTAATTCTTCTTCATTTTGGACTGTTGATTTGGCCTTGATCTATGATTGAGATTTAACCCTATTTTTTACCTCTAAGCATTGTTTCGCATATGATCCGTAATATATATATATATATATATATATATATATATATATATATATATATATATATATACATACCTGTATCTTTATGTGTGTTCTGTGCAGTGTACATTTGCCTTGAGATACCATAAAAGCTAACAAAATCTCGAGTTTATTATCAGGGTATAGTATAAGGGATAACAGAAACTGAGACATATAACAGAGTAACTGACCTTAAGGTGCAGAAATTTCAAGTTTATTTAGCAGACCTTAAGATACCAAGATCTGTTTAGTTCAATATATATGCCTCCATAACCTATTTTACAACAAGAAAATGCAAAGGGTACCTCAGTAGGGAATGGCTTTAGGGGAAGGGGCGTCAATTACCTCGATTTGGATCTCAACTTCACCGCATTCTACATGTCTTAGTCGAAGGATCATTTCTTGTGTCAATATACCGTCCTCCCAGACGATACAGCTCTCGCTTGCCAGGCAATTATCCCAGTTCGGCTCGATCCTACCAACTTTACCACCGTCTGGCAAGCCTTTCGACCCCAACTTCATAGCCTCGAGATATGGTTGAATATCTATTTCGGCATCTCCCATATGGTCATCTACAGTGAACGTATCTTTATCATAAAGACTCTGGAGAGTAGACATGGTAATCGGGTGGTTAACAGCCGTTGTGTACCACTATACAAAGCTAAGAATCCATTGATAAAAGCCGGGGACAAGTTCATTCCATAATAAAGTAAAGAAAATGATCACATAATTCAGGACGCAGATTCATGGTTATATTACATGAATTGAAGCATGTGCTGCAAGCTTTCGAACACATGACCTTTGGTCTGGCTCTGATACCAAATTGAAGCATGTGCTCCATCTCAACTAAAAGCTTAAGCTAATAGTTGGATTGTACATTAATGGTTATATGCTCAACAACATGCCAAACAATTGATCATCGGGAGTTGGGAGTTGGGAGTTGGGGGATATCGCTTACTACCCACATTGAAAAAGAATACTTACGATTAAGATTGGTAAATTTGGATCTCTTATCGCAAGAGTCATCTCCACATTCCAAACAGGGTTGCAATTATCCTTGACAACTGGAGTTTTCACTTTCTGCAATGTACACTTTCACAACATCAGAGATAATAACAATGAAGCAACTAACTGTGCTTTAATCGGCCACAACATTTGTGCACGAAGTAGACGAATCAAACAACCTTAAAGGCATAGAAAGTCAAATCATTGTAATATGATCAGCAAAAGAAAACCACAACTTTTTAGTAACGCCAAACACCTCTTCCTCCTTTGGGACTCATTAATGAATATCTCCCTCCTCGTAGAGGTCTACATCCCATTTCTTACTTCTAATGCCCAATTTATCGGGATAGCCTAAACCGCAGTGTGCTAGTTAGAAACCTCAGATCTTAACCATCGAATGAGTTGCCCAGATTGATGATTTGTTAAAATTTTAACTCATTCTATATGAACATTAGAGGAGCTTGATCAAAATAAATGAACAAGAACTGCAGAGTAGAGAACAGTTAATTCAATTCCAATTTCCAAATTCAAACTGTTTTATTAAATCAGGGGAAAATACAAAGCAATGACAAGAATAACACTACAAAGCAGCCAATCAGAAAAACAATAACTATCAATAGAGACTATGATTAACCAAGATTTCTTGTTTATTTCAACCATTTCTAAAAGCACGCTATTTTTCATACCCAGAAAACAAAAAATATGCTAGGAGCTTCTGATAGGCATGATTATCAGTTGCACCTAACATGGAATGACCTGTGAGGGCGACAACTCGCCCACAGCTCAAGATGACCTACTGCACTAAAGCTACAGCTTGACTTTCCCTTCAACCTCCAGGAGGATGTTAGGAACAAATTATTATTCACATGGCATGTTGAATTTGAGGATGCAAGATGGACTCCAACACTAAAAGAAGCAATGAATCTGAAGAAAACAAAGTGCTGTGTAGCAATTACAATAAGGGGACCTAACATTCAAATTCACAAAATCTATTTGCTCATGGGTGGCAGCAAAGCATAACCACAGAAAATAAACATGTCGTCTGCACGGACAACTCAGTTGGTTCCTGGGTGGTTGGTACATTGTGGGCAAGGTCACCTAACCAAGCCTTGTCAGCCGCAGTGTAGGAGTTACACACAATGTGGTAGACTCCTTGTGAGCACCATGCACTAGTTCTCTCATACAAAATTTTGTACTTTCAGTTAACACATTCTATACCTACAGTTAACAGTTTTTGTACATGTAAACAAATAACTTAATAATTGCTGACACATAATATGATAACTACAGGTACAGGTACAAAATGTGTCAACTATAGATATAGAATCTGACTTATAATTGCTTACACATAATATGATAGCTACAAGTATAGAAACTATCAACTACAAGTACATAATGTGTCAACTATAGATATAAAATCTGAATGATATTTTTGGACCAGGTTTTACCTGGTCCATGGTATAATTTTCCCTAGTTCTCCTGCCTAATGGGCCGCTAAGTCATTGTGGTTTAGCTATCCACTATCTTATCGAGCCAGGGTGGGGGCTTTTGGAGACAAGAAAATAAACATGTCAAACAATAAACTCTAGAAACAGCAAATAGATACAGATGCATCAAAACCATCCATCAACTGCAAATTTCACCACCTATGGACCAAATCTTTAAAACCCATAATATTCCTGGGAAATTACTTTAGGCAGGCAATAAAACTAATCAGAATCACAGACAAACCACTCCCTTTCCCATGTTTGAACTTGCTCAAGTCAATGGGTTAATCTGATAATTGGAAACCCTCAAATCCAACCTGCAATGTGATTTCTTATGGTTGATTTCAATAACCTTTTATTTCTTAAAATTCACCCTCAGATTGAAAAGAAACTCATTCTGTAGCTTCAGCGCGGTAAACATCAAAACTGCATAAAGATAGAAGCAAAAGATGAGATGGCAGACAGACCTGATGACCCATGGTGATTACAACATAAGGATCACTGCTGAGCGTATCTCTGACCGCAAGATTGATGCCTCTGATAACCCGGATTTTCAAAAGACCAAGAAATTCCATTGTATCCATTGTTTTTTGAGAAGAACGTGTATCCATTGTTCTATGTCTGAAAAGTATGAAATCCAGGAAAAGTAACTTGAAAAGATGGTTGAGAAAAATGGCCTATTTAGAATCCCCTCTAATTTTATTTAACATGATATCCTTCAATTAAGCATTGCCTTTGATTTGTTTTTTCTTTCCTTTTTTGCCAATTTTTCTGTTATAAATGTTTTATTTTATTTATACTTTTCTTTAATCAACACTATTAATTACAGCAGCAAAATTATATTAATTATACCAATTATAACCAATACCATATATTTTTTTTTGGAAAAAATCAAATATGCCATCAAACTTTATTTAAAAAGTCAATTAGGTGCCTAAACTTTTTAAAGTTGTAATTAAACTCATTAACATTTTATTTTGGAAAAATGACACTTTTTACCCCTTAGTTATATACTTATAGCACTTTTCCCCCCTCAATTATTTAGGTAAGCACATTAGCCCCCTCAATTATTCTAAAAGTGGTGTTTTTTTCCTCTGATATATTAAATTGACATTTATACCCTTAAAGTAAACATTTTATTTATTTTACTACTCCAACAAATTATTGCGTATACGTAGGGATGACCACGTTTCGGTTTGAATTGAACCGGATACTAAAGCAATCGAATTAATAGTTTACGGTTATAATTCAGATCTAGAACCCAATATTTAAAGGTCAATTTATTAATATTATGTATCAAAAAAATTGAAACTTGAACCGTGAACCGGCGGTTCCGGATCTCATTCGCGATTTTGAACCGTCTTTATTTTAAAATTTTATTTTTTATTTTAAAATAGTATAAATTCAACAATAAATGTATTTTATTTTTTCAGTTCGGAACATGAACCGTCCGTTCCGGTTCACGATTTTAATAAACTCTAAATATCGAATTTCGATTCTAAATTGTAATTGGAATATTTCGGTTTGGTTGCTATAGTGTTTGTTTAGTTTGAACCAAATTATGGTCATAATTTGTTGGAGAAAAAAATAAATTAAATATTTAGTTTAAGGGTAAATATGTCTATTTAATATTTCAGGGGAAAAAACAGCCACTTCAATAATTTAGGGGGAAAAAATGCTATAGGTATATAACTCAGGGGGAAAAAGTGTCATTTTCCCTTTTATTTTAGTGCAATAAAACCCAAAAATCGGTTAGTGACCTGTGATAGCAGGACACTAGGATTCTGACACCATCTCTAACCAAAAATCGGCCACTAATCGCCTACTCGAGCGAATATTTCTAGTCACTTGGTCGCTTCTCTCCGAAGAAGGTGACCAGGCGACAATGATTCACCTTGCATTATAGATCCTGATCCAAAAAGTATGTGTCTGCATTTAATATATTATGTGTCTTAGTTAATAAATTGTTCATGTGTTTGTAAATAAATTGAGGACACATAATTCGTTAATTGCAAACTTATAATATGTTATCTATACGCACATAATATGTTAATTGTAGACACACAATATATTAACTGCATATTATGTACATGTAATTAATATATTACTCCATATGTGTTTATAATCAACATATTATATGTCTTTAATTTATTTAGTGACACATAGGCCAAGACCCGATACATTTTACTTGTAGTGTTTATAATTTTTGTTTTCTCCACCTTCTTGAAGAAGAAGCAGCCCAATGATGATTGCCCATTGCATGAAGCTAAACTTCTAAATGGCCCAACATCTGAAGGGAGCACCAAATTAAAACCCATCTATATATATTATATCCATAGCAATACATAATTTTACACTTTGTTGAATTTGACATGCAAAATAATTCAATAAATATGAGCACAAAAATTCAATAAATTTGTTATCATTGGCATTGAACTCATAATAATCTTACAATATGAGCCAGACTCGTATAATATTAATTAAGTTGTTCCTAACTTTATTAGCAATAGTGTTAACAGTATACAGTGTAATCAGACATACCATGCATGATTGTATATGATACAAACAGTACGATATAATGTCAATTTATAGCTTATAAAAAAACATATATGTTTATTAGCTTATCAGAAAGGTGCAATGCACCATCAAAGTATGACCATCCAACATGGGTTAGTGAGTAGATATACATCAATGCCTAGCTTTCAATTCATGTAAAAAAAAAAAGTTGGTTTGAAAATAATACTATAAATAAATGGATAAAGAGATGAAAAGTGGAAAACATGGTGAGTGGATATTTTGTGTAGTGGAAGTTGTCCAAGAAACAAAAGAGAATTGAAGCATTGCAACCTCAGAAATGATGTTGACTCTCAACCCCTTCCATTACCAAACACACACAAACACACACACATACACACACAAGACAACCTAGTCCAATGAACTTGACAATGTTCCTTAATTAACACACTTGTGATCCACTATCTAAGTTTCAATATCACCTTTTTCCACTACCAACATAATTACTTTCGGGACTTGAGTTTCGATTGAATTCAATTTGACATATTCTTCTCTTCTTTATAAATAGAGAGCATGAGAGAAGAAGATCGAGGAGATAGGTTTCGAAGATAATTACTTGTTCCTGAGCTCCCATTGCTCCACCATTGTTTTATCCATGGCCTCTATGCTAACTTTTGAAATATATCTCATATTGGTAAATAATTGATGTATGAATATTTATTTATTTTTTGTTCAAAACAATGAAAAGTTTATTATCAAAATTAATGCATAGTATATATTAAAGCCCAACAATAATATATCCTTTCAAAAAAATAATTTTCAACTACAGGATATATGGTAATTCGATTCATACCAAGAAGAGGAATGGAATTGGTCTTATTATGGGTATCATTGTATTAAGGACATATGTGGCTGACATATTCCATCTCTATTTGTTATAGTTTAACTCATGTTGAATAGCTGTGTATGGTAGATTAGTTGTTGTAACTTCTTGTTAGCTTCTCTCATCTGAACAATATTTATACCTGCTTGGTTTATATTAGTACATTCATTAAGTTCATAACCTCTCCATCGGAGCAGGTTGCGGGTAGTCAGCTACGTTAGAGAGAGACGTACCCGGAGAAAACACAAAGGTCGGTTTGGGTGATTGCGCAACTGAGGGAATGATCTCGACCTGTGTAGACAAAGGGGATGATTTGAACAAAATATTGCGTAATTCGGAACCATGCAAATCAAATGGTGAGCTGGTAGACGCTTTTTGCAAATTGTTATAAGGAAATACATGAGGCACAAATCTAACATCCCTAGATACATAAATACGATTGGAACCAGGATCCAGACATCTATAACCCGATTGAGTGTTGGAGTAGCCAAGAAAGACACATAGACGTGACTTCGACTGTAGTTTCTTGGTGTTATAAGGGTGCAACCACGGGTAACATAAGCAGCCAAACGGTTGTAACTTGCAATAGTTAGGCGACTGATGAAACAAGACATAAACCGGAGACTGATTACCTAAGATCGGTGTGGGGAGCCAGTTGATGAGGTAGACGACCGCCTAAAAGGCGTAGGTCTAGTACGAGGACGACAGGGATACGGAGTGAAGTACGGCCAACCGGTTTCAACGACATGCATGTGTCGTCGCTCTGCAACACTATTAAGCTCAAGAGTGTGTGGTGGGGTGGTGAAATGAGAAATACCATGTTAAGGTACATACCATGATTATCCTCTCCCACTAAGGGTGCGTTTGGAAACCTGGAAAATGACTTCCGAAAAAAGTTTTCCGAGTTTTCAGTGTTTGGAAAGAGGGGGGAAAATGAGGTCAATGGAAAATGATGCATTGGTCAAAGGAAAATATGTATGTTTGGAGGGAAAATGACTTCCCCCCCCCCCCCCCCCCCCCCCCTTTTTTTTTTTTTTTTTTTTTTTTTTTGGAGGAAGTCATTCTCCAAGGAATGCACATACAAAATTTTTTGAGCCTAATTTTTTGCGGGCTTTTGCGAGTCGGCCCACCAAACCCGTAGGCTATGATTCATGCAAACAAAGACCGCCCCATGCGGGTTGGTGGGCCCCGCAGACTTTTTTTTTTTTTTTATAAATCAAAGTTCAAAAAAAATGTCTACAAGTTATTTAAAAATTTTAAAAAAGTTACATTTTTAAAAATGTTTATATATATATATATATATATATATATATATATATATATATATATATATATATATTGTTCTTGTGAGAACAGTTCTTCCCGTGCGGTCAGTGCGGCATACACCATTAGGTATGTATAAATGCATCATACAGTGTTTGAGAATACACCATTAGACTGATATTTGTAATGATTGTATGAAAATTACAATGATAGTGCAATAATGAGACAAGATATGTCTAAACAAAAAATGAACTACTATTAATACAAGATGCGGAGTTTGGGCAACCATCCACATAATATGAGCGCCCCCTTGAGAAATGGGAATTACAACCATCCCAGTCAGTCGTGTTTCACTTATCCAACCTCCTCAGCGACAAACCATGTCCAGCCGATCCAACCTCATTTACCTGGGTCAGCCCACCTTGGACGACCCCGAGACCGGTTGTACTGTCAGATTTCCTCATTTCTGGTTGGGCCTTCTTTTCTCCAAGTCAAGTCTGATCTGTACTTATTGGTCCAAACCCTACATATCCATCAATACCATTTGACATATTTTTTTTAATTAATTCATGTTGCAATTAATTCACAAATAATCAATATCATTTAATATAATCTTCCATATAAGTACATTTTCCATAAAACTTATATTTCTATTCCTATCACTTTACATATGACTTTTCCACAATACCAAAAGTCATGGTTTAAGAAGAATAGAAAATAAAAAAAGAAGTATATAGCAAAAACTTTATACATAAGTGATAGTCAACATCGATCGCTCTCAATAATAATTATAGAAGTGGGGTGTTGCTTTCCAGCCTAAGATTTTTGCCGGCCGGCGCATTTTACCAAATGGACTCTCACTTTAGTGTTCAACACCTTTACTTTTTCACCCAACTCTTTCACAACTCTAATTGTAACCCAATTATGTTGTGCCACAACTGCAACTCCATTACTTTTTCACATCAAAATCACAACTAAGGATGGCCTCAGGTCCCTTTGTAGGGCTTATGACCTGGCCTGGCAAATTATGCTGTATGCACGTGTACACCTTGTAAGGT